ATAAATAAAAAGTATTAAAAAATGACAACTATAAAACAGTGTTGAAGAAAAATAAACATCTATTAAATGGAAAGACCCCATGCTGATGGGTGGGAAAACCTGGCATTGTCAAAATGGCAACACTCACAAACTGATTGATGCCTCAACACAAGCCCTATGCACAATACCAGCTGCCATTTTTGCAGAAATGATATGCTGATCCTTAATTTCATATGGAAATGCAAAGAACACAGAGAAGACAAAATAATCTCAAAAAAGAACAAAGTTGGAGAACTCATGCTTCCTGATCTCAAAACTTATTAGAAAGCTAAGTAATCAAAACAGTGTGGCACTGGCATGAATTCAGACCAATGGAACAGGATTCAGAAACCAGAAATATACCATTACATTTACACTCAGGTCACTTATGTTAAGTTGAATCTTTACTTTATATCACACACAAAAATAAACTTAAAATAGATGATAGAACTAATGTAAGGGCGAAAAGTATAAAACTCTAGATGAAAATACAGGATTAAATCTTTGTGATCTTAAGGTCAAGAAGAAAGTTGAAGAATGATACAATCCAATTTATTTTAAAACTACAGTAATCAAAACAATGTACTGTTGGTGAAAAAACAAATAGTTGAAGTGAAACAGAAGAGAAAGTCCAAAAACAGAGCCACATAAACATACTCAAAGGATATTTGACAAAGGAGAAAGATAACATAATCCTATATAATAAAGAGGGAATATACAAAGTGACCATCACTCCACCACGAAGACGGCGACGCCCGCAGCAGAGGCCGAGTTGCTGTAACAAGCCTTAATGAGCCATCAGCAGGGACCTGGGACTGTGACGACCCCCTTCCCCCAAGTCCCTGTGGGGCTTGACAGGGGACCTCAGGCCGCACCCCCCACCCTGGTGTATGTGTGTGTGTAGCCCCTTTTTTGTTTTGTTTTGTTTTCAGTTTTATTCCTTTTTTTTTTTTTTCTTTGCTCTTAATTTCTTCTCTTTGGTTCTATTCTCTTTGACTTTTTATTATTATTAATTTTTATTTCATTTTTCTCTTATTTTCTCCATGCTTTTTCATTTAACTTTCCTGTCTGTGTCTTAATATATACATTGTTAGTTATTTTTAAATCCATCATTATTGCCAGGACAGTGCGGTCCAGTTGTTTAGCATCAACTCATGAACCAGAAGGTCACAGTTCTATTCCCAGTCAGGATAAATGCCCAGGTAGTAGGCTCAAACCCCAATAGGCAGCTGATCCATAATTCTCTCTCATCATTGATATTTCTCTCCTACTCCCCTCCTCTTTCTGAAATCATAAAATATATTCATTTAAAAATTAAATTATTATTAAATTTCTTTTCTGTTTCCTTTTCTTTTTTATTCCCATACTAGAGGCCCAGTGTACAAAATTCATGCATGGGGTTAGTGGGTGTCCCTCAGTTCAGTCTGCAAACTCTCCAATCTGGGACTCCTTGAAGACAGTCAGACATTTCTCTCACAATCCAGGACTACTGACTCCCAACCACTCACCTGCCTGCCAACTGCTTCTGCCTGCCAGCCTGATAACTTCCTAACCATTCCTCTGCCAACCTGATTGATGCCCAACTGCTCCCCTGCTGGCCTAATTGCCCCTAACTGCACTCCCCTGCCAGCCTGGTCATCCCCAACTGCCCTCCCCTGCTGGCCTGTTTCCCCCCAACTGTCCCTCCCCCCATAGGCCTGGTCACCTACAATTGCCCTTCCTTGCAGGCCATCTTGTGGTGGCCACCTTGTGTCCACATTGGGGTGGCCATCTTGTGTGTTGGAGCGATGGTCAATTTGCATATTACTCTTTTATTAGATAGGATTAGTTATTTTAGCAGGGGAGCAGTTAAGGGCAATTAGGCAGGCTGGAGAGTGGTTAGGAGCCAGCAGTCACAGATTGTGAGAGGGATGTTTCCCATAGGTATTAGGCCTAAACCAAATTGTGTGCCACAGGGATCAGGTCTAAACTGGCAGTCGGACATCTCCTAAGGGGACCCAGATTGGAGAGGGTGCAGGGTGGGCTGAGGGACACCCCTCCAGTGCACTGGGCCTCTAGTATCCTATATAATTACATCCTCATACGCAAATCGACCAAATGGCAAAACAACCGGTCACTATGACATGCAGTGACCACCAGGGGGCAGATGCTCAATGCAGGAGCTTCCCCCTGTTGGTCAGTGTGCTCTCAGAAGCCAGGCTCACAGCTGGCAAGCCCAGCAGAGGGAGGCTCTCCTGCCTCCACGGCAATGCTAAGAATATCCGACTGCAAGCTCAGGCCTGCTCAATGGGCCTGAGCTAGCAATCAACATCCCTCATGGGGTGCTAGACTGCGAGAGATCGCAGGTGGGCTGAGGGACTCTCTCCTATCACCAGTACATGAATGTCGTGCATCGGGTTTCTAATCCTATATAATCCAATATAGTTAAAGAGAAACATGTAAATTGACTGTACCTCTGCTACACTTACCAGCCAATCAGGAGTGAGTATGAAATTAATCCAACGAAGATGGCAGGTTAATTTGCATACATGGGCACCAAGTAGCCTGGGTCCCAAGAACATCCTCAGGACCTAGACCGCTCCAAGCCTGTAGGCCCCGAGTAGCCAGGGTCCCAGAACGTCCCAAGACAGAAGTGGCCGATGGGCGCTGGCACCAAGCAGCCAAGGTCTAGGATGATTGGCTGGGAGCAGCAAGAGCAAGTGGTCGCGGGATGGGGGTGGGAACTTCCGCCCCACTGCCTCTTGAGCCGTGTCACCATGCCAATGCAGCGTAAGTTCCTGCTCTGGGGCCACTTGCACCCGCGCCAAGTGGCCCAGGACCACGCCCCTCAGCCCACGGACATAGCGAACAAACGGCAGCTGGCTTGGGGGCATGCCCCCAGCGGTCAGGGACACACCCCTAGCCCAGTGGACATAAAGCAGGGGATCCTCTGCACATGGGCTGCAGAGGAAACACCTTTTCTTTTCTTTTTAAAAAAATATATATTTTATTGATGTTTTACAGAGAAAAGGGGAGAGTCAGAAACATCAATCAGCTGCCTCCTGCACATTCCCCAATGGGGATGTGCCCCCAACCAAGGTATATGCCCTTAACAGGAATCAAACCTGCGACCCTTCAGTCTACAGGCCAATGTTCTATCCACTGAGCCAAACTATGTTTGAGCATAAACACCTTATCTCGTTGGCTAAACTCCCTATACACCTCCACTTGCAGTGTTCTTGGTAACTTGGGTAATAAGAATCCAAGAAGCTGAGACCGGTTTGGCTCAGTGGATTGAGCGTTGACCTGCGGACGGAAAAGTCCCGGGTTCGATTCTGGTCAAGGGCATGTACCTTGGTTGCAGGCACATTCCCAGTGGGGGGTGTGTAAGAGGCAGCTGATCGGTGACTCTCTCTCATCAATGTTTCTAACTATCTCTCTCTCTTCCCCTCTGTAAAAAAATCAATAAAATATATTAAAAAAAAAAAAAAAAAAGAATCCAATAAGGTGATCTAGGGTTTTTTCACCTCACTCCTGGAGAAAAAAAAACCAAAGGTCTGCTGCTGGAGGGGCTAAGGAATGTCATATCCTGCCCTAGCCTGTTTTGCTCAGTGGATAGAGCCTCAGCCTGCCAACCACAGGGTCCGGGTTCGATTCTGATCAAGGGCATGTACCTCGGTTACAGGCTCCTCCCTCGCTGGGGCCCAGGTCAGGGCTCATTTAGGAGGCAACCAATCAAAGTGTCCCTCTCACACTAATGTTTCTCCCTCCCTCTCTCTTCCACACTCTCTAAAAAATCAATGGAGCCAAAACCAGTTTGGCTCAGTGGATACAGCATCGGTCTGAGGACTGAAAGGTCTCAGGTCAAGGGCATGTACATTGGTTGTAGGCACATCCCCGATAGGGGGTGTGCAGGAGGCAGCTGGTCAGTGTTTCTCTCTCATTGATGTTTCTAGTTCTTTATCCCTCTCCCTTCCTTTCTGTAAAAAATAAATAAATAAATAAATAAATAAATATACATATATATATTAAATCAATGAAAATATATCCCCTGGTGAGGATTAAAAAAAAAGAAAAGAAAAAAAGAAATGTCATATACTATAAAAGACACATCTTGAAAATGCCCAAAGAAAGTTGTCATCCATTCATGGAGAAAAGATGGAGTCCATGTTGCTGAAAACACCTTGGTGGCTGTGGTGGCTGGCAGAGGGAAGATAGGTCTGGTGCCTTCACCTTATCAGCCTGGTTGCCTCCTGCAGAGGGAGGCCAGACTGCAGCTTAGGCCCGCTCCCTATAGGATATCGTCAGTAGGACATCCCCTGAGGGCTCCCAGTCTGTGAGAGAGGACAGGATGCGCTGAGGGACCCGCCTCCCCCCCACCCCACCCCACCCCCAGTGCACAAATATCGTGCACTGGGCCCCTGGTTTAGGTATAAAACCCTAAGTGACTGGTCGACCGCCCAATCGCTATGATGCAGACTGACCACCAGGGGGCAGATGCTCAACACAGGAATGCCCCCTGATGGTCAGTGAGCTCCCAAAGCAGGAGTGATGCTCAGCTGACCAACAGGCCCCAGATGCCGGGCTCACAGCTGGTGAGCAATCCTCTCCACCCTCGAGGCAGTGTCACCAAGTTGCCATGAAGGAGGCGTTGAGAGGCCAGGATGCAGTGTGGCACCTGGCCCGAGCTGGGGGTCCTCCCCAGCCACCTGCCGCTTCACGCACTACTACATTCTCGGGGGATGTTGGACTGCTGGTTTAGGCCCAATCCTGGTAAACCAGCAGTCCAACATCCCCCAAGGCGTCCCAGATTGCAAGAGGGTGTAGGCCAGGCTGAGGGACCCCACCGGTCCATGAATCCATGCACCAGGTCTCTAATATAAAATACAAGTTAATTACATTACACTTCTAAAAAACACTATTTCCTTTCAACATGTTTTACAAACCACAGAGATAAGGTACTTTCAGCCATACTGTTATCTTATTCCATTGTTAAAGGATATAATTTGGAGGAAGAAAGTTCCAGCTCAAGACCTGATTTGCGAGTGAGAGGTAGCGCTGAAACACTGAGGACATCTGAGCACTGAGGTTTTCCCGCCTGCTGAACTCCTGCAAAACTTCCACAGTTAACACGAAGATCTGACGAAGGTCTTCTTCCTGCAGTAAATAAGTCACAAGTATTTTTGTGTCAAAAACTTATTCAAAATGCATTCCCTTTTAGAACTATAAAAGAAAACAAACAAAAACCTTAACATTTCCAATAGAAAACACTATTTTTTTAGGAACATTTTAAGGCCTGCTCATCTTTTCACCACAGTAAGCTTTTAAGTGACACCAGTTTGAACACATTTACTGTGACAATAGCCTTTTGTCACAGTAATGGTGACAAACTGGTTTTGTGGCCAAAACCAGTTTGGCTCAGTGGGTAGAGCATCTGCCTGCAGACTGGAAGGTCACGGGTTCGATTCCGGTCAAGGGCATGTACATTGGTTGCGGGCACATCCCCAGTACGGGGTGTGCAGGAGGCAGCTGATCGATGATTCTCTCATCGACGTTTCTAACTCTCTATCCCTCTCTCTTCCTCTCTGTGAAAAATCAATAATATATATTAAAAAAGAAAAAAGAAAAAGGTTATTCTGTGGAGCAATAAGTCTGACAACTAGACAGAGCTGGAGGGTCAGCTGTTCTAGGTACAGGGTCCTCGGACTTAAGCCAGTGCCTTCACATAACTTTATTTCAGAGCCAAACAATACACACAAGACAAAGAGCCCATACCACCTGCAATAACATTTTAAATACACAGCCCTCATGGGCGTTCTGCCAGGCCTATTTTTAAGGCCAGCAGAGTTCCACCAATTAAAGCACTGACATCTAAACACAGTAAGATCAAATTAAATAAACTAGAAATCTTTAGAGTGTATTTCCTTTTTGTTTTATTTAAAGACTAGCATTAAACAAATAACCTTAAATTGTCATCTATACTCACCAAACCTATCACTTTAATATATTCTAACAAATCACAACACAAGCCTTCAGGTGCAGGCTGTCATTCAGATACAATAAAATAAATGTTCTCACTGCACTGGGAACAGACTACAAAAAAAGTGCATGATATGATAATTAAAACGTAAGAACAAAAAAGCTAATACCTGAAAAACTCTTTTGCAGTTACCATGAAATTCCATACTCAGTCCAATGTTGCTAGTTTTACTTGAACTTGAGAATTCACTCAATAGTGCAGTCAGAATAGAACAGGCCAGAGTTTGCTGTAATTATTAGGTAAGAAATAATTAAGAGGCATTATTTTTCTAACAGTTTGTTTCAAAACCACATTTGTTCAAACATATCATTGTCTTTAGATTTATATCTACCAAACAGGAAATCAGATAGTAAAAATAATGATTGGCTCTCCTTCCTAAGTGGCCTAGTAATTGTTAGTTCTTCCTCAATCCCAGTTACCCAAATCCATCCAACACTTGAACTCAGGATATATTCCTAATTTGATCAGAGCACAAGTGATATTTTAAGATATTGAATGTATTATTTCATTTAATTCACACAACACTTAATCATGCCCCACTTTACATTAGAAAGAAATGAGATTCACAGACATTAAGAAATGAAGACGGAGAGTGGGTAAGGGTAATGGGGGCAGAAAAAAGGGACATATCTAATACTTTCAACAATGTTGATTTAGAAAAATACAAAGAAGTATTTTTTAAAAAGAAGAAAAAGAAATGAAGTCCAGCTGAAATTGAGCCCAGGTCTTTCTACGCTCAGATGATAATAAAATGTATTTCCAAATAGATGAAAAAATAAAAGTTTATAGTCTTCCAAATATTAACCAGGTAATATTTTTTTTAATTTCCGTTAAAAATTAAGGTTTTCCTTCTCAATGGCTCTATCCAACAGGCTACTAATATCAACTCATTACTTTTATTCACAGACTATTTAGAATCAAGGTGCCAAGAATGGAGAGGATACAAATTATTTTGGCACATATCCAGGGGTTAAACAGAAATATGCTCACTACCACTGAATAACCAAAGATTAAAGTCAAGATGATACTATTCATGCAAGCCAACAGCTGAACAGTCATCCCACCCACCAACTGCCACATCTTTGTTCAGAAATGCTTGTGATGTGGGTACCTTGACCTTACAGATGCTTTTCTTGGCAAATCTTAGCAAATATACATAAAATCAAATTCCCAAGTATTGCAATGAGTTGATATTGGTTGAAACTGATGGTTACTTGACTGACCAATACACTCTTGTCTATTTTTGCATATATCTGAAATTTTCTTCTACAAAATGTAAAAATAATTAAATTACTATTGGCCTCTTAATCTCAACTAAAATAAGCATGATATATAACTGATATTTACAGATGGCTTACTAGCCCATACATTACAGCATTTTCTCACATTCTTCCATAACAGGAAGCCCTAACAACAGAAAACACATGCAAATTTGCCAAGAATCAGGGGAACAGACCAAACTTCTTTCAAGGATAAAGTACTCTGAACCTACTTAAACACACACTACACACTTTGTAAATTTACCTCAAAATAAACATTTGTTTTAATATAAAAATGTCCCTCTTCCCTAAATCATTTAGAGAAGTGTACAAGTTTAACTGCCTTCTCTTACAGAGAACAGTTCATTTCACACTCATTTCATTTTACAGTTTAAAGCAAGAATGTCAAACATGCGGCCCACAACGAATAAGAAACATTTTAATAAAAATTTCATAACTTAATTTTTAAAATATCTGTTACACATAATCATTAATAACGAACTACAACATTCGCTAATGAGTGATTACTATAATCATGTTGCATTCATTTTCCTTATGCACTTTATGTGCAGGTGCACCATTCCTCTCCACTAACACCAGCAGCGAATCTTTTAGCAGTTGACTGCCACGTTATTAGTCTTCTACTGACTTGTTTGGTGTGTGCAACAGGAAATATTTTGCTTTCGGAGGACAAGAAAAATAGGTTTATTTGCATTAGGCTTATTAATTTGTGCAGTTATTCAGTGTCTGATAATGTTCAAGGAAAAAAACATTTTTATTAAAATATTCTATTATTTTATGTTGACGATATCTCATTTATTTCAGTCCTTTATATTCAACGTGTCTCTATTGCAATAGACATATATTTCTATAAAAACTGAATATTTATTTATTTATTTATTTACGGCTACATAAACTTAAACCGTGTTTATTTGGCCCATCTTAGCCATTGGGTTTGACATGCTTGCTCTAAAACAGCAACCTTTTACTCTAAGGAAGTTCTAATTCACCCATAAAAGCAAGTATATTCTTAATCCATGATAATTAAATCAAAATACATTCTTATTACAGACTTATTAGCTCTCTGAACATTTTGTTTTAAAATAACTTTTTCTTCCTACAAAAATAATGTATCATCTTCTTTTAAAAACCAGAAAGTACAGAAAAGCACAAAAGGGAATAAAATTTCCCACAATCCTACTATCCGAGGGCCACGACTGTTAACATTGTCCACAAATTCCAGGTGTGTTAACGCACAGGTATCATTAAATACACCCCATTACCATCAACCGAGATGTCGGGTTTTGTATTTTCCTTTTCCTCTTCACATTTATAAAATGAAAACACAAATTTTTAAAAGCAACTGTGTTCTTTTCAAATTTACCACTCAAAGACTTAAGAAATACATGAAAATAAATTATGCAATATGGCTGAGAGTTATTACCAGAAATCAAATATTCTTATTTTAATGTATCTAAAATTACCAGCTTTCAAATAACTAAGATATTTCATCATTAAAAGATACCAAATAGTTTAATTACTCCTTAATTTGGAAGCTCTATAAAGACTTGAGAGCAGTATCATAAACATTAATTATACTATACTGCTAATGCTCAAAGGTGCCATACCTGGAGAATAATAAATGATTAAGTACTGATTGTACATTAAGATAGCAAAGCACCTCTGCACATATCAACAGAGTATTTCTGGCTATTCATAGAAGAAGAATTAATATCATAGGGCATCTAAGACTCATTTCCCAAAGTGTTCACTCATTTTTAGTATTTAATTATCAATTAAATAAAATCTCAAAATTACTCTCATGGTAAGTGCATTACAATGACAATAGTTGGGAAGCAAGCTGAAAATGTAATCCTAAGAGAGAGAAGGGGACAGCTCCCTCTCAGGACAGAGAGAGAGAGGAAAAGGGTAAGCATCCAATCCCCCTATGAGAGGTCACAAGTACATTGCTTTTCTTACCCGTAGAAGGAGGTTCCTGTGTGCTTGCTTCAGATTTAGATCTTAATGGTTAGCCCATCTGACCCCCACCCACCAATTAGTACTGTAAACCCTCGATTTTGAGGGCCTCAATTTAATGGATTTCGGATTTAAGAGACAAAATTTCCAGTTCATATGTCTCACGTTAAAATTAAAGTGTTTTTGTTCATCCTCACCTGAGTATATTTTTTCCATTGATTTTTGGAAAGAGTGTAAGGGAGAAAGGAAGGGGAGAAAGAGATGTAGGAAGAGAATATGACAGAGATAGGGAGAGAGATACATCAATGTAAGAGAGAGAAATATAGATTATGGATTGCTTGCCTCCTTTACGTGCCCTGACCAGAGTCAGGGATTGGACCTGCAACCCAGGTATGTGCTCTTGACTGGGAATCAAACTAGTATAAACACCATTAACAAGTTTGAGACTTATGAAAAGTTAATATAGCAAGGCTTCATTTATCCAAGATAAAAAAAGAACTAAGCAAATATCTGTTCATTTTCCAAATGCAGCAAATATTTTTAATGGAACTTACTTCTTATAAATTTTTCCAAAAGACTTATTTCTAAGGCACTTACTGTTTGATGTTACAACAGAAAACAAGTGAAATCTACTAAAGCACACAGGCTTTACTTTACGTGCCATGACCGAGGGGTGCCAGAGCCCGGCCTTCGGGTTCCACCACTCCCGTTTTTCTCAGTCATCTTGGTCTAGTGGCACACAAGCTGTTTGCAATGTAACTAGCACTAACAAGCCATCCTAAATTGATAATTCTTATTTCCAACAAATTAGAAACCAAGTATTACAATTTATTAAAACTATATCCAAAGTAAATTCTAAATGAAAACATTACAGGACTCTTTCTGGAGTCCAGTACTAGAATCCTCCTGTTTATAGACAAAGAATTCAGGAAATCTGGGTTACAACAGCTCAGGATTGTACCTGAGGGCAATTCACTTCTGTCTTAGCTTCACTTTTTCCACCTACAAAAAGGGTCACACCCTCTGCCCTGCCTAATGCATGTGACTGTCCTAAGGTTCAAATTAAATCATGCAGGTAAAAGTACCGTGTAAAATGTAGCAGGTTACCATAAGATAAAGAAGCAACAGAATTTTTATCATCATGATATAAAATAATCACCTATTTTGGCTTTTCTAATCCTACTTCTTTAATATCTATATTCCACCAAATTAAAATCACAAGATAGGTTATAAATTAATAAGGGAAAGTCATAACTAGAGCATCACTAAAGTAACAGTAGATGCTCAGTTACCTGGATTAATGAGTCAACTTTATCTCTACATCAACACTATATTAATACAAAGGGGAAGTGAAAAATGAATACACAATGTATTCCCTATCTTTTTAGTTGTTGATAAATTCCAAAAAGAAAATTTAAATATGTGGAACAAGAAGAAATTCAATTTCAAGGTTATAAAATTGTCTAATCTGTACTCTTTCATTAAAGTACTGAAAATCCACAAGTTAATTCACTAACAACTAAGTAACTGTTGTCTTCACATTAAAGTCTTACAGCAGCATTCTCATTTTTATTAAAAGCCATTAATTTCATTACAGTGAAAAAATACCTTAAGAGGTAGCTTGCCTTACTCACCAGCTTACTGTCACAAGCACAAGATATTCAAACACTAACTCCAGCTGACAAATACAATACTCTTGTTCAGAGAGAGGATTGTCTCTTATAATAGCTTGGCTCTTACCCCAGGAGCTTTATTACCAAGAATAAACTTTATGAAAGGTTGCCGTACATTCAGACTTCCAGCTGTTCCTCTAACCAATGAGACTTGTGATAAGAGAGATTAAGCTAGTATCACATCCAGGGCAGAGCTGCTATGAATAAGTGAGTTTCTCACCCACTTCTCTCACATGGCAAAGAGAAAGAAAGAAATGCTAAATTAAACAGCTATAAAAGTGATTTAATGTATGCCTACTATAAAAAAAATTAAAAAAAAACACATAAAACAGATTAAAATTTTGCTTAAACATTAATTTCAAACAAAAACATTTAGCTCCTTTCCTTAAGAAGTTAAAAGTTTCTATATCTATCCCTCTAACTAGTACACAGTAAATCTGACCCTTGCAAACTGCAGTGAAGTAACCTCAGAAACCTTTATAGCAACAGAAGGAAAATGAACCATCACAAAGAAGGGCATGAAACAACTAGCCTATATAATAAAAGCATAATGTGCTAAGTGTCTGGTCATCCAGTCATTCAACCAATCAAAGCATAATATGCTAATGATATGCTAAGGCCATTCAACTGCTTACTATGACATGCACTGACCACCAGGGGGCAGATGTTCTGACCAGTAAGTCAGCTTCCTGATGGGGCCCAGTCTATCGGGACTGAGTGAGATGGGCTAGACACAACCTACAGCCCTCCCATGGTCCCTCCCCAGTTGACCAATCTCCGCATCCCTCCCAGCCCTAATCGTGCATCGGTGGGGTCTCTTGGCCTGGCCTGTGCCCTCTTGCAATCCGGAACTCTTTGGGGGATGTTGGAGAGCCGGTTTCGGCATGACAGCGGAACAACCAGTCACTATGACACACACTGGCCACCAGGAGGCAGATGCTCAATGCAGGAGCTGCCCCCTGATGGTCAGTGAACTCCCATAGGAGGAACACTGTTCAGCCAGAAGCTTGGCTCACAGCTGGCAAGCACAGCAGCAGTAGTGGGAGCCTCTCCTGCCTCCACAGCAACTCCAAGGATGTCTGACTGACGGGTTTGGCCTACTCCCCATGGGGGGGAGCAGGCCTAAGCTGTCAACCGAACATCCCCTGAGGGCTCCCAGACTGCAAAAGGGTACAGGCTGGGCTGAGGGGACCCCCCCACCCAGTACATGAATTTCATGCACCAGACCTCTAGTTATCTAATAACTGTACAAGAACACTTGCTCTAAAAACACGTTATGATAAATGGGAACAGTACTGTGTCTGAAAAATATCCTTAGGAAACATTTTATAAATTAGATAGTCGTCTACAAAATTATCTATAGAGAATCAAGACTATAAAATATTTCTTAAGGCATTAAAATTAGAGCTAATAAGTTGGTTTTCCATTTTAATACACAATTAGTTTTCACTCACAAATAATAGCATAAATACTTACTTCTAATTTTCAATAATTAAAATATTATTTGATAGAACAAGAGATCATTTAGTATTGTTCATGTCCTAATAAGATTATAAAAATATAAGGGTGATACCACTGGGGAGATCAACACTTGATGAATGCTTATTTAGTGCTGTCTCCTCTGGGCAGCCCCTAAGTGTTAATCCACAATAAAAACCAGTGAATCTACTATACTGCCCCAAATTTATTTAAACACTTAAGTTAGACTAGTATAAGGGATGGCCACAAAAAATACATTATTAGAAAGGGAAGAGTGAAAGCCAAACTAGATAGTTTCTGGCCAACGAAACTACCGTATTTTTCGGACCATAAGACGCTCCGGACCATAAGATGCACCAGTTTTTAGAGAAGGGAAATTAAGAAAAAAAGATTCTGAAACAAATAGTGTCCTAAAATATTTTATGTGCATTAAAACCCAACATCACAGTCATAAACACATGTAATCAACCCTGTAAAGTAAACAGCAGCATTTAGAACCATTTTAGAGCCGGGCAAGCACACAGAGACCACACAGAGCCGGGCAAGTAAAAAACTTTTTTTTTAAAGTATATGTGTAGGCTATATTTGGACCATAAGACACAGGGACTTTTTCCCCCCACTTCGGGGGGGGGGGGGGGGGGGGGAGTGCGTCTTATGGTCCGAAAAATACGGTAAATGGTTTAACCTCGCTTAACTGATGAGGTCAACCCTATTTCATCCACAGAACACCATCAATAATCTTTTTTTTTCAAATATCTCTATAAATCTCGTTTATAAAGGAAGTTTAGCCAACACTATATCCATGTTCATTAGTAGCTATCAAAGGTTTATCAAATATGGAGGAAATGTTCAATAGAAGGAAAATGGTAAGCATAGTGTGGTATATTAGTTTATGATATTTTACATCTTAAAATGATGATTATGAATACTAGAGCAATATGGAAACAGGACCAAATGAAAAAACGAACTACACTATATCTTCAGTATGTACACATGTATGAAAAGGACTAGAGAAAATAGGAACAATTAAAAACTGCTTTTTCTTTTATGTAGATAGCCACTGCAATAATGGAATCTATATAATATAAAAAATAAATATTTACAAAATGTTAGCATACTTACCACAGTGGGATTGCCACTACTGATCAACTGGCTGACTTCATGAAAAATGCTCTTGCAGTCAATTGACTTATCTAGTGAGCCTCGTTTTACAATTACTGCTACTGCTAAGAGAATCTGTTCCCGAACATACTTTTGGAGGCTGTAAAACAAAGATCAAAGTGAAAAATTTCACATAATTCTAATATAAAAATATTCCCCAATGTCTCACTATGCCTGACCTCCTAATAACCCTGCTTATATCTCAGTGATTATGTATAGACTCCAAAGCCAGAAGACCCGGGTGCAAATCCACACTCCATTATCTACTGGCTTTGGGACCATAGGTAAGACAGTTAACACTCAGAGTCTCAGTTTTCTTTTCTGGGGTGTGGGGACAACAATAACAGAGTTATTACAAGAATTGAATGTTCTCAAAACTTTGCCCAGTGCACAGTAAGCACTATGTAATCATTAGTTTCTTCAATCAATGTTCGATTCATTTAAGTCAGTTCACTAAGAGCCAGATTAAGATTCCACCAATTAAGAGAGAAATTCTGACCGAATATTCATCTCCAAGAAGTAATATAATCTTGTCTATTCCCATGGAAAGGCAGCATGCTAGCTATTACACAATGTTATAAAAACAAAATTTTTAAATCTTTTTTAAAATCTTATCTCTGAGATGTGTTCCTCGGTGTGGTGGCAGGAGTATTGGTCTTAATTAAGGCATTATAATAAACTCATTAGCCCTCACCAACTTTGGTTCAACATATGGACTGAAAGGTCCTGGGTTCAATTCCGGCCAAGGGCACATGCCTGGTTTGTGAGCTCGATCCCTCGTAGTGGGTTGGGGGTGCAGGAGGCAGCCGAACAGTGATTCTCTCTCATCACTGATGTTTCTATCTCTCTCCCACTCTCCCCTCTTCTCTAAAATCAATAAAAATATATATTTTATATATATATATATATATATATATATATTTTTTTTTTTTTTTTTTAAAGCTCATTAGACAAGGGCATAGAGATTTAACTGCCATTGCAAAATTGTTTCTTAAAGAAACCATAACCCTGGACTTTACAATCCAGCCTTTAGAGTGCACAAGGATACAACTACCAAGTGCCCTTGAAATAAAATCCAAACTTTTCAATTACAGTTGACATTCAATATCTATATACACCGAGTGGCCAGATTATTATGATCTCTGAAGGCATAATAATCTGGCCACTCAGTGTACATCCTTTATAATAAAAGGCTAATATGCAAACTGTCCCCTCGACCAGGAGTTCAACCAGCAGGGAGGCCAGCCAACCGCCTAAGCCCCCTCTCCCTGGCCAGGCTGGCTGGACCCCACCTGTGCACGAATTCATGCACTGGGCCTCTAAAATATGTGTGTGTGTGTGTGTGTGTGTGTGTGTGTGTGTGTGTGTGTGTGTATCTCCTATATAATAAAAGAGGAATTATGCAAATTGACCACACCACTGCTACAACCACAAGCCACACCCATCAGCCAATCAGGAGTGAGTATGCAAATTAATCCAACCAAGATGGCTGTGGCCATGGAGCAAGCAAGAGGCTTGGGTTTTTCCGGCAATGGAGGAAGCCAAGTTCCTGGCCTGCCCTGACCTCCACTGAAGGCTATAAAGTTTCAATTATAGAAGATAAGTAAATCCCAGATACCAGGGCCTCCACTGGGGTCACTGGGGGGCATGGCTGGCCTGCAAACCACCACAAGCTCCTCACCTAGGATGCCTCATGCTCCAAGCAAACACCCTCTGATCTAGGACACCCTTCAGGGCAAACCAGCTGGCCTCCACCCGTGCACCAGGACTCTCTCCTATCTAATAAAAGAGTGATATGCAAATAGACTGTCACTCCAACACACAAGATGGCTGCCACCATGTGGTCAAAGAAGACTATCCCCATGTGACACAAGATGGCTGCCACAAAATGGCCAGCAGGGGAGGGCAGTTAGGGGCAAACAGGCTGCCAGGGGAGCAGTTAGGCATAAAGGGAAGGGGATGGGGGTGAAAGGGAAGGGGATGGGGGTGATCAGGCTGGGAGGCAGAAGCAATTATGAGCAACCAAGAAAGCAAGCAAGCGAGCACAGTTGGGAGCCTGCAGTCCTGGTTTGTGAGAGGGATCCCAGATTGGAGAGGGTGCAGGCTGGGCTGAGGGACATTACCAACCCCCGCCCCGTGCACTAATTTTGTGCACTGGACCTCTAGTGTATGTGTATGTGTGTGTACACACACACACACACACACAGATTATTATGTGTTCATAGATCATAATAATCTGGCTACTCAGTGTAATATCCTACCTAATAAAAGAGTAATATGCAAATTAACCATCACTCCGCTACATCCACAAGCCATGCCCACCAGCCATGCCCACCAGCCAATCAAAGTGAGTATACAAATTAACCCCAACCAAGATGACTGCCACCACAGAGAATAGAAGGAAGGCTTGGGTTTCCCCGGCAATGGAGGAAGCCAAGCTTTCCACACACAGTGGCAGGCCCAGGCCTCCACTTCAATTATATAAGATACATAAATTCCAACAGAAATGGCTGAAGCCACAGATCGAGCAGGCGGCTTTGATTTGCTCCAGGCTACGAAGTTCCAATTGTAAAAAATAAATAAATTCCAGACACTAGGGCCTCCACTTGGGTTGCCTGGCAGGTGGATTGGGGAGGGAGGGATGGCCAGCCAGAAAACCACCATAGGCCCCTCGCCTAGGCCGCCCACACCTCAAGGGAACCCCCACCCTAATCCAGGACACTCTTCAGGGCAAACCACCTGGCCCCCACCCATGCACCAGGCCTCTATCCAATCAAAAAGTATAATATGCAGATTGACCATCACTCCCAACACACAAGATCAAGATAGCTGCCCCCATGTGGTCAAAGATCCTGCCCTCATGTGGACACAAGATGGTCACCACAAGATGGCCAGAAAGAGAGGGCAGTTGGGAGGGACTAGGCCTGCAAGGGAGGGCAGTTGGGAGTGATTAAGCCTGCAGGGGAAGGCAGTTAGGGGTGACCAGGCCAGCAGAGGAGGGAAGTGGGGGGCAAACAGGCTGGCAGGGGAGCTGTTAGACATCAATCAGGCTGGCAGGGCAGTGGTTAGGGGAGATCAGGCTGGCAGCCAGTAGTGGTTAGGGAAAATTAGGAAGGCAGGCAGGTAAGCAGTTGGGAGCCAGCAATCCTGAATTGTGAGAGCGATCCCAGATTGGAAGGGGTACAGGCTGGGCTAAGGGACATCCCCCCTTCCCAAGCACGGATTTCTTGCACTGGGCTTCAGGTAGGTAGGTAGGTAGGTAGGTAGATAAATAGATAGATATGGCTAATATGCTATGTGTCTGACGGTCCAACCAGTTGCTATAATGCGCATTCACCACCAGGGCAGACGTTCAACACAGGAGTTGCCAAACTGCAGTGACTTAGCAGGGGCCATTCTCAAGTGACACACCCTGAAACCAGAGAGGAGGAGCCAGATTCCTCATAGGTCCACACAATTCCACCTTCGGCCATGTGTTTGTTGCTACTGGGGCACTGTCCACCGCAAATATGGTTTATAGCACACTTATGTTTCCATTCTACACCCTGTACAAAAGTAACTTTTCAGAGTGCTCTCTCGCACTGCAGGACCCAATCGGGGATATTGAATATCCCCGCAGTCCAGGCCAAGGGACCCCACCTGCCAAAGGTACCCGTGCACTTCACAGACACTTTTTTTTTAAATAAAACTTTATTGTTCATATTATTACAAATGTTCCTCTCCCCGCCCCAATTGCTCCCCTCCACCAGGTTCCCACCCCACCCTCTGCCCTTTCCCCACCCCCATTGTCCTCATCCATAGGTGCACAGTTTATATTCAGTCTCTTCCCACACCTCCCTCTCCCCTTTTCCCCAAGAATCGTCAGTTCACTCCCCTTTCATACCTCTGATTCTATTATATTCAACAGTTAATATTGTTCATCAGATTTTTTTTTTAATTTCCTTGCTTTTTAGATTCACTTGTCGATAGTTAGTAACTGCTGTTCATAGTTTTTATCTTTATTTACTTTCTCTTCCGAAAGTAATTCAGCAATTCATATAATTCTGGTTTGGTGGTGATGAACTCCTTTAGCGTTTTTTTATTGGTGAAGCTCTTTATCTGGCCTTCGATTCTGAGTGATAGCTTTGCTGGGTAGATTATTTTTGGCTGTAGGTTCCTGCTATTCATCACCTTGAATATTTCTTGCCATTCCCGTCTGGCCTGCATGGTTTCTGTTGAGAAATCAGCTGATAACCATATAGGTGCTCCTTTATAGGTCACTATCTGCTTTGCTCTTGCTGCTTTTAATATTCTCACTTTGTCTTTTGATCTTGGAATTTTAATTAGGATTTGTCTTGGTGTGGTCCTCTTTGGATTCCTTTTGTTTGGGGTTCTGTGCGCTTCCTGGACTTGTAAGTCTAATTCTTTCACCAGGTGGGGGAAGTTTTCTGTCACTATTTCTTTCAGTATGCTTTCGATATCTTGCTCTCTCTCATCTTCTGGGACCCCCATAATTCTGATGTTGGTTTGCTTGAAGTTGTCCGAGGTTTCTTACATTATCTTCAACTTTTGGGGTTCTCTTGTCTTCTTGCTTCTGTAGAGGAGTGTCCTCTGGCTCTTTGTGTTCCAAATCTTTGACTTGATTCTTGCGATCTTCCATTCCGTTTTTAGGACTCTGTATAATAGTTTTTATTTCAGATAATGTATTCTTTACTTCTTGTTGATCCCTTATTATTTCTTGTTGATCCCTTATTTCTAGTTGATCCCTTTTCATATCCTCATAGGTCTTCATCGACCTTTTCTAGGAAATTCTTGAAAAACCTTATAACCGTGATTTTGAACTCTATATCCAGTCGCTTTTTGTCCTCCATTTCTTTCGTTTGTGATCTGTTTCCTTGTCTCGGCATTTTCACAGCTTCCCTGAGTTGGTAGCCTTAAAAGTCTCTGTGTTCAGCTTAGATGGGGCAGAGTTTCAGGGTGGAGCCTACAGCCTTGGCTTCCGTCAGCCACGCCCTATGCGGCTCCTGAGTCTCAGTGTTCCTCAGGGTCCTTCGGTACTCGCTGCAAGCACCTCTGAGAGTGAGGTGCCCTCGAGTTTCACCTGCTACCAAACAGTCTAGG